AGAATTATCACTAGAGGATTCTAAAATGGTTGAGAGACACATAAGAATGTGCTCAACATCCTTAGCAATTAGGGAAATGCAAATCAAAACAACTCTGAGATACCATCTCACTCCTTTCAGAATGGCTAAAATCAAAAACACCAATGACAGTTTATGCTAGAGAGGATGTGGAGAAAGGGGAACACTCCTCCACTGCTTGTGGGAGTGCCAACTCATACAGTGACTTTGGAAATCAGTATGGAGATTTCTCAGGAAAATGAGAATCAGTCTACCACAAAATCCAGCAATTCCACTCTTAGGCATATACCCAAAATGTACACTCATACAATAAGGACATCTGTTCAACTATGTTCATAGCAGCATTGTTGTAGTAGCCAGAACATGGAAGCAACCTAGATGCCCCTCAACTGAAGAATGGATAGAGAAAATGTGGTACATTTACACAATGGAGTGCTACCTTGTGGAATAAAAAACAATGGAATCTTGAAATTAGCAGGCAAAAAAATGGCACTAAAAGAAACCATCCTGAGTGAGGTAACCCAATCAGAAAAAGACAAACATGGTATGCACTCACTCATATATGGATTTTAGACATGGAACAGTGGAGTGCCAGTCTATAATCACACCGCCAGAGAAGGAGAATGGGGCAAGATCTCCTGAGCAGTTTGGGAAAATTGAGGGAAGGGAGAGGAGCTGGGGAAAAGAGCGGGGGAGAAGTGGAGGGGAGAGGAGGACATGGGGGAGGAGGAAGGTTGAGTTGGGGGAAGAACAGAGGAGAGCAGGATGAGAGATACCACAATAGAGGGAGGCATTATGGGTTTGAGGAGAGATCTGATACCAGTGAGATTTCCAGAGATCTACAAGGATAACACCAACTGGCAAACGGAGTGGTAGTAGAGAGGCTACCTTAAATGCCCTTCCCTGATAATGAGATTTACAGTTACCTTATCTGCCATCTTAGAGCCTTCATCCAGTGGCTGATGGAAGCAGAGGCAGGCACCCACAGCGAAACACTGAACTGAACTCCTAGAACCCAGTTGCAGAGAGGGAGGAGTGATGAGCAAATGGGTCAAGACCATGTTGTGAAACCCACAGAGACTGCTGACCTGAACAAGGAGGAGCTCCTGGACCCCAGACTGATGACTGAGAGTGCAACATGGGACTGATCTAGACCTCCTGAATGCAGGTGTCAGTTCAGAGGCCTCAGTAATCTATGAGTCCTCAGGTAGTAGATCAGTATTTATCCCTGGTGTACGAATGGACTTGTGGAGCCCATTCCACATGGAGAGATGCTTTCTCAGCCTGGACACATGGGGGAGGGCCTGGACCCTCTCCTGGATGATATGACAGACTTTGGAGATGCCCCATGGAGGGCCTTAACTTCCCTGGGAAGAGGACTGAAGATGGGGTGGGGGTTGGGTGGTTTGGTGGGGGAGCAGAGGGAGAGGGAACTGGGATTGACATGTGAAGCAAGCTTGTTTCTAATTTAAATTTAAAAAGATAAATAAAAAATAACCACTTCATTTCATGTAGGATTCTTCCTCTCTCTCTCTCTCTCTCTCTCTCTCTCTCTCTCTTTCTCTCTCTCTCTCTCTCTCTCTCTCTGTTTGTGTGTGTGTGCTTGTAGCATGTGGGATTATGATGATTTCAGCATATTGAAAGAAATATTGTCTTATTGGTCTGTGCCTGCCCATCTCTCCTTGAGTCATGTAGAGAGCCTGGAGAATGACCAGGTCCAGTAAATGAACTGAAGAGTTAGGTTTACTGACCAATTCCACCAAAATTTCCATTCTCCAGTATTTACAAGTAACTATAGCTATAATTTGTAGCACAATATTCTTTTTAAATATTACATTCATTTTTATCTGAAAATATTTCTTAATACTTCTCAGTTATCTATACATTCTCCCACGAGGAACTGAATAGCATGGAACATTTTATTGATGAATTTGGTTCAGTATTTCAAATATTATACATGTGTACAGCAATTAGTATTATATTACATCGGTATTACAGGGACTAAGTGTTTGATTCCAGTTAGGTTGGATTACTCTGAGGTATGGATTAATGCTAACATGGACAACTGTCTATTTAGTATGCTTTGTCACTTCATTTAATAATATCACATACATTGGCTTTTATATTTAAAAATTTAACATCTCTTTGATTTTTATACTTTCAGCCATCACATTATATGTTTGGTTATTCTAATTGCCTCTTTTCCTACTGATAGTTAGTATGATTATAAATTGTTAATATTTCACAGCTTTGAGAAACATTTCCCTTTCCATTTTGGGAAATATCAATCAGGAGTGAAATAAATAACTTTATAATTTAAGTGACTTCTCTTTCAGTCTTTTAAATTCTCTCCCTATGGGCAAAGGACCAACCATGTAATGTTATGGACAAGACAGCCAGGCTATAGAAAATGAATTTCTAAGAGTCAGAAATTGTGAAACAATGTTTATATTCTGAAGGAACAAGCCCCAAAGCAATCAGAGAAACCATATATAAAATGCAATCACACAAGGCAAATTTATCCTGGGTTGAGATACCCCTTCAACATAAGGTTATTGAAGTTAGATGAAATTAGAACAGTCAGATCATCACATAGTAATGGACAGTTTACCCTCTGGCATAGATGAATGTCAAACAGTTCCATCAGGAAAAAGATGACAGTTTAGTTGATATTTGCAATGAGGGTATTTTTCAGGGAAACAAAAGGGCAAATTACCAAGTTTCTAGTCCCAAGTTTAGAAATTGAGTCCCTTCTTGTCAAGGGAGGAGGCCACCAAGTTCCTTCTAACTTGATAAGTAAGAAATAAGAAATTTGTTCATTAAAATGTTGTGTGTTCTCCTTACTTACTGATTTGTATGGAACAGTAAGTTATGGTACACTGGTTCCACAGAAGTGAAATACGAAACTTTATTTATTGAAGTTTAGATAATCAAAACTGATCTTAGGTTCTCATTTGAGTACCAACCATTAATAAATATCCCAATATTGCCCTTGACACCTTATCACATACAAACCCTTCATCTCTCCTTATTCCTCAGACTCCTTGACTTACAGAATTTGAGATGCTTTCCTGTCTGTGGAGGTATACCTCAACTTGAACAACTAAGACACTTTTTGGTAAACCTCAGAATTTGTGCTGTAAGACACCTAGTGTGAGCTCAGTAAATGGCAAATTCTTTTCTTATTTACCACTGGTCTTTCTCAACCTCTTTTTTGATAATCACTCATTTATATCCAGAAAGGTTCATGGCATAATATTTCTAGTTCAAAGCTGTCTTCCTAATGCCGACTCTAGTTTTCTTTTCAGTGTCTAGATATAGTAACAGAAAAGCAAAGATATAATATCTATCCCTACAAGATATTTCCTTGAGCCATGCTTATTTCTATCAATACAAGTGTTTTTCTTGTTATCTTTTTAAGTTATACTTTTAGGAGGGGAAATACACAAGGCTCATTCTACCATGATTTTTTAACCTCAATTTCTCTTCATTTCTAACACTCTGATTTGTGTAGATTGCATCCTACCTTTTAATTTCTTCACCAAGTGGTGGTCTCATTTCTATTGTACTTTCCCCTAGTCCTTCAGTGTGACCTTGATATCTTCTAAAACAGAGCTAGGACTGCTCCATTCTATTTAAAGTGCCACAGACACAAATCCAAGTAATCACCAATTCCTCATTCATTTGGCCAAAGCTCTTTGTATTATAAAGAAGTATATATAATTCTTTATACCCTTAACCCAACTTCTGAATATAAATTCCCAATTATACTGCCGCATGAAACAAGACCCATACTCTGTTGATATGTCCACTTGCCTTCATCTAGATGCTAAAGGCTTATGCTTTATTTTTCCCTCCTGCTTGAGATAATCCACTTACATATATTATTTGTGAATATGCTGTTTTAAATATCATTCCTTCATTGTTTTTTTCTGCTGAATAGTACTCCATTGTGTAAATGTACCACATTTTCTCTATCCACTCTTTGTTTGAGGGACATCTAGGTTGCTTCCAAGTTCTGGCTATTACAAATAATGTGAAAAAAACATTACAAATAATGCAGAAAAAAAAACAATGGAATCCTGAGATTCGCAGGCAAATGGATGACACTAGAAGAAACCATCCTGAGTGAGGTAACCCAGTCACAAAAAGAGAAACATGGCATGTACTCTCTCATATATGGATTTTAGACATAGATCTGGGGAGTGCCAGCCTACAATCCCATGGCCAGAGAGTCTGGGAAACAGAAACTTCATTTAGTGGCTGATCGAAGAAGAGGCAGACTCCCTCGGTTAAGTACTGAGCTGAACTCAAGAAAGCCAGTAACAGAGAGGGAGGACTGATGACCAAAGGGATTATGACTGGGCTGGTTTAACCCCCAGAAACAGTTGACCTGACAAAGGTTAACTCTTGAATCCTAGGCATCAGCCTGGGAATCCAGCATGGGACTGATCAAGACCCCCTGAATGTGAGTGTCAGTGAGGAGGCCTAGGTAATCTATTGAGCCTTGGGCAGCAGATCAATACCCATCTCGAGTATACACACGGACTTTGGATTCCCATCCAACAATGTGAGGTGCACTCTCACCCAGAACTTTTGGGGAAGGGTCTAGGCCCTGCCCTATATGAAATGACAGACTATGGACACCCCCATGGAGGGCCTCACCCTCCCTGGGGAAATGAGGGGATAATGGGGGGGTTGGGGGTAGTGCATGGGAGGAGGGGAGGGAAAGTGAGGGGGACCTGGAACTGAGTTGTGAAGCAACCTTGTTTCTTATCTAAATTTAAACTGAAAAATAAATTTAAAAAAATTAAAAAAAAATATCATTCCTTCAATTTGTGTGACACATTCCTACTTTGAACCATCAGAACTTAGCCAAAACCGTAAGTAAATGTTTTATTAAATATTTATTAAATGCAATGAACTTAACGGAGATTATTTCATAATCCACAATAATAAAAATGCTAAACATCTATTGCTCTTTATTTTACATCTGCTTCAATACAGTGTCGTGTTTTAGTACCCCACCTCTCCCCATAACTCCTTAATATTTTCTTCTTCTGCAAAGGCAATAATTGAAAAGAAGTTTCAAAGACACATGGGGACATCTGCTCTCAGAATCCACTTGAAAAATAAGGATGCACAGAATAGGAAAGACAGCTGTGCAGTGTTCAAGAGATTTCTTGTAGAGCTGCGGGAAAGATCCAAAGGCATAAAAACACACAGGCTCACCCCAAATGAGAAATGAATTCTTACAGGAGCTACTAAGGCACCCAGTTGGATACCAGAGTGCAGCTTTATTCTGTCTTGACTTTAGTATCCACTGTTTCTTCAGGGAAGAAAGAAGTGTGATCTTGTCCACCTATTTGGATTTCTGCACAAGGAAAGAAGTACAGCTATAACTTTAGCCTCAAATAAAACAAACAATCTCACAAAGTACATGTGGAAGTCAGACACGTGCCTATCATTTTAACAGAAAATGATAAATCAGTTTTAGGATATTTAATATTTATAGCTTTGTTCACAATTAGGATTGGTTACTTTAAAATGCCTTAAATTTTACTTACTTTATTAATTTTTTAATAAATGTAGACTGAATCTAGGCCAGTTATATTGTAGTCAACAACTTACCACTGAAAGACAACTGCTACTATTACTTAGCCTCATTTATACTCTTTAGAATACTATGAACACTTACCTTTACCTAAGAGAATATAAGAATAATATAACTTGTCATTGTCCATACATATACACTATATATTATACATAATATGTGTTACATGTATAATATATAAAGGACAAGTTATATCTTATATACACGCACATACATATATATATGTTCATGTGTGAAAATATTGATGATTACCTGTAACAAAATACAATATCAACTTGGATATTTTTGAGTAAGATCTTTGAGATTCACTGACTCAAATTGTATTGAATCTGTTTGCCAAAGATTAGCTTGAAATTCAGGAAGTGGGCAAGTATTCATCTGTGGTTTCTGTTACTCACATTTGGAACTGTGAAGAAAACTTCTAATGTTATCTATTCAGAATATTATTCTTTAGACAGCTGTGGACATTTACTTGTCAGGCATGGATTAAACTACTACCTAAGAAGAATAAAATCTCAAGGAAACTTCCAAATAAATGATGAATATTTAGAACTGAAAGACACAGGGTCATCTAACCCATTCTTCAGAGCTTATAAATACAACAATTAAATCTCACAGCCAAGTAATGCATCCATGGAAAATGATTTTCTGTTTTCTCTATGACCTCGTGTTGAAAGATTCATGATGCTGCCCTATTACAGAGCTTCTACACATTTAGATGACTTAGCTAGTTTTTTCTATGTTTAATTCAAACTTTAGGGTAATGCCTTCTTTTTGCTCTTTAGCAAGATTTTATCCTTTGAGTGAAAGAGAGGGATGAGTCTGTTATTAGTACACGTGGAAACAAATGTCGCAGGATGGTATCATATAATGCTTTTGAGCCTACATGGCAAAACTGGGGTCCATGGTTCCATGTAAGGCTCCATCAGACATTAGTTCACTATTATGACAGATGCTTAAATATTAAGAATGCCTAGAAATTAAAAGTACTTTGTTTTAGTGGAGTGAATGCTGTTCCTAAAGCTGTTCACATAGAGTAAGAGGAATATATGTTATGAATATCCTGCAGAAATATCCTAGAATTAATTTTGTACGAATTGCCTCTTTATTAAATACACATTCTTCTTTTAGTCCTCCACAGTTAAAAGTGATGACAGCAAATATATCAATGTAACTAATAATGTTTCCTCCTGGGCATAAAAAAGGCCATTGGTCCCTTTTGGAATGATGTGTCTATAAGCACTTGTCAGAAAGGGGAAGAGTTGGAGAGGTGAATGCCAGCCTCCAGGTCCTTCATGCCTTTCCCACAGGATGGATTGGACTTCATACACACCTGCTCAGTGGTATAGTGAAAACGGAAAATGAGCTAAGGTCATTTTCTGTCAAAACCCCATTAACTACCTCAATGGGGAGAAAGAAGACTTATTTTTAATCCTCATTTGAGTGCCAAATACGTGAAGGAATATTTTTGACAAAAAAGCGCCATTGGTAAGTTTGATTTCTCATCTCCATACATGTGCTCTATTGTATTATGCTATGATTCTTTGACAGTATATTTATCAGCTTCAGGGTCTTATCCAGGATGAAACAAATTTTAGAAATTAGTTATCCTGCATGTTCTCAGTTCATGTAACTCCAGTGAAGCCCATTGTGGGGACACACAGTTAGGATAAGAGAAAGAAGTCTTGAGAGTTTGCCAAAAACAAAGAAACGTAGTAGTATTTTCAAATTTGCACTGTGTTTACTTAAGTCCCAACAGACCCTGAAATAGGTTTCCAGGGACCCTACAGCTATATGGTCAGAATGACTACACATGTTTCACTTCCTGTCAGATCCTAAAGTATAATATCCTTCTTACACAGGTTGGTACAAGGGATAATAGAACTATCCTCATAACTTCCTGATAGGTCAGCATTTTCTTGAAATTACTCTTTCTTCAGGGTGAAGAAAAAAATTTCTTTATATAATATATTTTGAGATCTTTAGAAGGGAAAACTCATGATAAATTTCAGTTATTATTATTACCATTATTATCTCTTACTCATTTAATATGTTCTGACACATTATATTTCCTTCAGGCCCATGGAACTTCTATTACGAATTATGGTTTATAAAAAAATTCACATATAATAGAAAGTTCTATGCCTGGAAATTTAGTGAACCCCATTTTTATAGGAAATCTGTCCCGTATGATCATTTTAAAAAATCTATTTTACCTTTGATGTTTACACTGCCATCAATGAAGTGTTTTATCAGAAACAATCCCAGATATAGAAAAAAATGGTTAGTGGAATAGAAAAAAGATTGTGCTACATGATCTGTTTTTATAAACCTACCCTGCATTTCAAGATTTCTTTCAGAGGTATTAATTTTTCCATATCTTCTTTATAAGTCTGAAATTGGTCTTTTTGAAAGAGGGTATGAATCTTTTCAAGGAGTGCCATTTAAACTCTGAGAGCATCAAATTCAAAAATGAGGAATCCTTATAAGGAGTCCATAATGCCTCAGTTTCAATTCATTGTGAAGACTACAGTGAATTGTGTGTGATTCTTCCAAAGTGGTACTTATTAGTGTATTGGAAAGGAGTAGGAATTGTAAAATGAGTGAGCATCTTTTCAGCATGTAAGTCACTTCCTGGGAATTAGATGCTTAGGGACACCTGCCTATCACAAGGTTGATTCTAATCTCAGCACTGCACTAAACTGGAAAATGGCTGACATCTCTGACTCAGGAGTAGTACTTGAGTAGCATATCATCTAAAACTGCAGAGCTCTTCATTATGTCTTCAACATGCATGGACAGTCAGCTCCACTACTTGTAGAATACAGATGCTGGTTCATCCAAGATTTGTAAATAATTAGTGGTAACAAACTTGCATCCAAAGTACCTTTCTAGAACAAACTATTCTGAGAAGAATATGACTTGTTCTCTTGTGGTCTAAAATTTGCAGTTTTCAGAACAAATACAGGCATATAAAAATGCTATCCAGATGTCAGCTGTCCCACATCCTATGTCCAATTTTGTGCTGTTCCAAATTCAAAATACTACTAAATCACTCCTGGCCGTCACTAAAAAGAATCTCAGATACCAGAAGTGAGATAGTTATAGTTTTTGGAAGAAATGGAGGACTGATCTCTACCATACATCTTATTCAGAACGTCAAAATTATTTTCCTCAAATAACACATCATCCTTCTCTTTCCCACCACTGGAAAGGATTGGGTAAAGAGTACTCTGCTAGTGCTCTAGATGCAGGCACTCTGACTTAGGCTTCCTCAATTGGGTACATTCTCACTGATTCAGAAAATCAGAAGACAGAGTTTCATTTACTCCTTGGGGGAAGATCAGAATACCACTTAAAACTAGTATCATTAATATCAGTATCTTCTTCCAGCATTATAGTCCTTCAGGTACCCTCAGTAGAGATGAAGGTGCGGTAGTCATTACAATTCTTCTTAGAATTATAGAGATGGGAAATCAGAAAAGTAAATATAACTAATTTGCATACACATATTTGCATGGATGTCTCTGAAAATGGCAAGCAGTGGCGAGCTTTGGCAAAGAGGTCATATCAGGGAGTGAAGACAACTCCAGATGTAATGTTTCTCAGCTCTGTGTTGAAAGTCCAGCAGAGGCCACATGCCATCTATCTAGGTGTTGAAGGACAGATAAATCAAGCTTGAAACATCTTAAATAGTCTGTGATCTACTTTGAGAAATCATATGTCTTAAATGTGAAAACAGGCACATGACCATGGATTTGTGGCAAAGTGTCCAAATAGCAAAGGCATAAACCAATGCAATACTGATGCATTTCTTCTGACTCATTTTTGGGAAAGTAATAAAGATTTAGATCACTATATTTCTTGCATAAAGTTGAAATACATAGGTATATTTGATCAAAGAACAAAAATCAGTGAGGTACTCATCCATGGATTTACTTAAATAAAAAACAACAAAATGTAACACTTTTTTTTGCAACAGGTTTTTTTAAGTATTAATTTCATTGTATCCTTGTATCATCATTTACCAAATTCACTAACTATATTTTTATGATAAAAATGTTTGTAGCACGAATATTCTATTAATAGTAACTCTAAATCAGTCAATTTTTCCAAACATTATAAAACACTGGTGTTTATGTAACAATTTTAATTATATCTTAAAGTATTTTCTAGACACTTCGTGGCACACTTTATGAAATACCTAATTGTACCTCAGGCTTTGCCAGACATTTGGTCTCTGTAGCAACAACTCAGCTCTGCCACTAAAATGCAAACATAGCCATAGGCAATTGTTTCATTGTGCCATAGTTATGTTACGATAAAACTTTATTTACAAAAACAGGTAGCAGATTCATTAACCTCAGAGCCATATTGAACTGACACCTAGGCAAACCCATATGATGTCTTTTATATTTGGTTTAAAACACTTAATTGCTGAAATGTTATAAAGGAAATGGAGAACATGTTATTTAGTTGTGTGTACTAAAATTATATATTATAGAAATATATTGAATATTTTATTTATGTTTTTATTAGAATGAAGTTATGCATTTACCAATATTGAGAAAAATTTATTTATGTATCTACAGATACAGTGTTTATTTGGATCTTCAAATCTGTATAACATTTTACTTTCTTATGTTCCTATGCTCTAGTAGAATGTAAATTATATTGCCTATTTCAACATCCTTTTTTGGTTTATAACAGTATTTGAGAAAACATTTATAAATTGAAGTTGTTTGTAAGCGGATATGACT